GTGTGCACGATCGTGACGGAACAAGACACAGGGGCTGTCCGTTGTCTGGCGAGACTAGAACGGCTGCCGGAGCTTGGTCTTGGCTCCACCTGTTGTTTTGGGCGGCACTGAGCGATGGCTCTTTGTTGCTCCGGACCGGTCGCTGAAGCTCCGTAGTTAGCGCTGAACGGCCAACACAGGTTAAACCCGTGCGCCGCAGCCCATTCGTAGAGCTTCTTCTGTTTCACCGCTTTTTTGTAGTTTGTTTGTTAGTTGTTTGTCTGTTTGTAGGGACCGAGTGCTACAGCCGTAGTCGACGAGGCCCAGTCAAGCCAAAAAAAAAAAGCCACTCACCGTTGCTATGGTCAAGAGGCTGGAGCGCCTTGTTGTGGATGAGTCAGATAATGATGTGGACAGACTATGCGCAGGCTTTTTCTTACTCTGCATTTATCTTCGTGCTAGATACAGTGATGGCCAGGCCCTGATGAATCTGGTTTTGGACGAGCCGGACTCTTTCATGGGACCACTTGCAGGGTACTTTCAAGGTGAGACTTCAAGGACGAAGACCAGTTTCTCCTTGGAAAACAGCTTTGCTTCCTATGGTGGGGCCATTGTGCGGGGTGGCGTCCGTTCCTTGGTTCAGGACGTGGATGAGCCTTCGTGAGGACCTCGCCATTCCCGAGGGAGAAGATTTTCCTCTCCTGCCCAGCCGTGGTCAGGAGGGCGGATGGTCAGGCGTTCCGCCCACGGCCACTGTAGCCGCTGGTTGGTTGCGCGGGATTTTGTCTGCCAGAGGTTTCCCTGAAGCCTCAAAGCTTGGAACTCACAGCTGTAAGGCTACGACCTTGTCATGGATGTCAAAGTACGGTGTTGATGCGCTGCACCGGAGGATTTTAGGTTATCACAAGGCTCTGCAGGATGAGATGATGCACATCTATGGGCGTGACAATGTTGCGCCTGCTTTGAGGTCTCTTGAGTACGTGCTCGCCGACATAAGGATCGGCAAGTTCCTCCCGGACACCACACGTTCGGGCTATTTTCCAACTGCCGAGCGCGAACCAGGTCCGGAGTTCAATGATGAACCGTCGGCCTCGGAGGCGTCACTGGACGAAGAGGACAACGTCCGGGACCTTCGTGCTGAAGAGGCTGCGGCTGATGAGATCATACCGCCTTGGGCCGAGTTATCTGTGGGAGACCCTGATGCCCATGTGTACATCAGGCACATCACTTCCCGCAAGCTTCACCGTCTCGCTGATGAGGGCGGGAACAGACTTCGCTGTGGGAAGAGGTGCTCAAAGAAGTTTGAGCGGCTTGCTGAGAGGCCTAGGTTTATGGCAGATATGTGCCAAAACTGTTTCAAGTGATTTGCGCACTTGTGGAAGCCGGTACACGCGGTGCTCGCCGGAATCACTCGGCGATGGTTTGATGTGCTTGCGCACTTGTGGTCAGCCGGACTGCGCGGCTTGGGAGTGGATGAGCTGGACCCACTCGGCTCACTTGTCAAACCCTTGCGGGTATCATGACGTGCGTGAGTGCGTGATGCCACCGGTCCACGCGGTGGCACATGTACGAATTTCGGGCACTGGCCTGGTTTTGATGTGGCACCGACTTACTTGTCTGGTGTCATGCGAGTTTTTAGAACATGACTGAACACGAGTGTCGTGTGAAATACTTGCCGGGCGCCGTCAAGTATGTGTTATTGTGCTGAACTTGTGTCCGACAGTCAGCGGCTTGCAAGTGCATTTGTCGTTTGCGGTGAGTGTGCACTTTGGCTGGAGACCTCATAGTGCCTTGACAGGTTTTGTGCCATGGCCGTCACAGAGAGCAAGGCAAACTTCTCTTCGAGGGCGAAGGCTCTTGGATTGGAGGATCCGGTGTTGGTGAAGTTCGTTGACGCTGGCATTGATTGCATGAGCAAGTATGCTTTCCTGAGCTCATACGTGCGACCCTTCGATTGCGGAGCTCAGTGTGCTTCGCCGCTTGCTGCATGAGAGCTACAACCTAACTGTGTCTGAATTGCAATCACAGGTTGAAAGGACCGATGACTCTGCCCCGAGAAAGCTCGCAGCGCCCGACCGGGCCGATAGGTTGCAGCGACAGCAGGTTCGGCTGAGTGGTTTGACGATCCACGGCCCGACTCTTCCGGGTCATGCCGTGATTGATAAGTGCGTTCAGATGTACGAGGATAACGTGCTTCATTACTTGCCGCCTCAGTCGTGCCCTTGTCGTGATGATGAGGTTAAGTTCAAGAAGGATCGCGATGATAAGATGTTGTCCGTCGATGGTGCCGGTCATGTGTCCCTACGCACCCAGGTTGCGAAGGTTGATGCTGATGTGTCCTCAGACCTTCTCCTCGAGCTGGCATTGACCCGTCGAGGTTTGGCCCTGGACCAAGCAGGGATAGTCACCTTTTCGGAGCACGAGCGGTGGGTGGAAGCACTTTTTACCGCGCGTTTCAGGGATCCACCTGACAACTATGCACGTGTGACTTTGCAGCAGCTTATGCAGGCTGATCGGCAGCTGTTTGTTGAGGCAGCAGATCGCACCCGGCATGGAATCCAACTTGTTTCTGACGGGAAGCCGGTTGATAAGATTTGGAGCGAGACGATGACTTGCAATAATGTCACGCACCTTTTGCAGCCTTTGGTTACCGCCCCGCCTGCTCCTTTCAGGCCTGGTCCGTACGACGACAGAAGGCCCGGGAAAGGCAAGGGTAAAGGCAAGGGAAAAGGAAAGGGCAAGAGCAATGTCCGTATGCCCGCTGAGCTAGCAGACGGAGTTCCTGCTACGACACGTGGATTGCCAATCTGCTTCGATTTCAATTTAGGCCGTTGCCAGAGAACTGTATCCAATGGGAAGTGTGATAGAGGACTCCATATCTGCTGCATCAAAGGATGTTTCAAGAGGGATCATGGATACACGACGTGTCCCAAACGCAAGAAAGATTGACTAGTTGCGCAACCCATGGCCCAAACTACCGACGAGAAAGATGCTGCACAGAGTGGCGAACTTCTTGTGCGCTCTTCATCTGAGAGCAGTGTCCCTGAAGGGGACGCTTTGCATGCAGGGCCTAAGGGGTTGCCATCCGCTGAAGAATTCGCTTCAGGTTTGCTTGGGAAGTGGATTGAGCAGTCAGATGTTCTTAAGCTTTTCGATTGCCTCCCGAAAGCTGCGCCGCAACGTGGCTCCGGTGGCGGCATCTCCTTTACCACTGGGGCCTTTGCCAAGGTTAAGGTGGGACTCCGGAGCAATGTTGCTGTTTTTCCAAAGTCTACCCAGGTGTTGGCTGCTTTTGTAAGGCAATCGGCTCCTGCGCACAAGTTCACTACCGTAGTAATTTTTGATGGTGTTCGCACATCCCCGCATCGTGACCAGCAAAATTCCTTCTTGCCAAATTTGGCCATCCCCTTGTCAAGTTTCGCTGAAGGTTCGATTTGGGTGCAGTCCAGCAAGGGTCCCCATGCTCGGACCGTTGATGGTTCAACGCTTCAAGGGGTGGCATTGCCTGTCTCGGACGGGCCTGTTCTCTTCGATGCACGCAGGCAGATGCACCTCACTGATGTGTGGCAGGGAAGGCGGGTCATTTTGGTGGCTTTTTCAATTTCTGCCTTTGATAAGCTTTCCTTTGAAGCATCGCAACGCTTGATTTCCCTTGATTTTGCACTGCCAACCGCGCCAGAGGTCGAGCATTTCCGTGAGCACCCGCAGTTGCCAGCTCGCTTGCCTTGGCCGCCGCGTTTTCCCTTGCTGTCAGGGTCACCAGGTTCTAATCCCGCGACCGATGTGCCGGGTCACAAAGACCCTCTTTTCCTTGAGCTCTGTGCTGGCACCGCCATGCTCTCTCGTTGCTTTCGTGAAGCGGGTGTTCCCGTAATGCCCATTGACCACCAGCACAACCGCCATCACCCGTTGGCGCAGGTTTGCAATCTCAGCTTGACGGAGGATTCCACTTGGGACTTCTTGCGCAACTTGGTTCGTGATCATCCTATACGTTTTGTTCGCGCTGCCCCGCCTTGTGGCACATGCTCAGCAAAGCTTCTGGGGCTCAAGCCTGTTTGTAATGTGAGTGGGGAGGCGTAGCTTGCTCTTCCTGTGCGTTGGAGTGCGGCCGTGCTCCTCGTGCAGACGTGGCTCATCCTCTGTAGGGTGGGTCAGCGTAGTTAGTGGGGCGGCTGGGGCTAGGTGCCATAGAGGCGCTCGGGCAGGCTTTGTTGGCTCGGCGAACTCTTTTTCAGCTGCTGGTAACGTAGAGTGGTGCAAGCAGGCGTTGCTGCAATCATTCTTTTGACACCGGCATTGCATATCAGGGCTGTAGCATTGGACTTGCTTCTTGAAGAATTCTGCTCTGACAGCGTCGCTGCCTGGCTAACTACGGACCTTGCTGCATCAATCTGGTTACAGAGTGACTCCCTGGAGATTCTTATATCAGCGGTGGACGTGCTATCATACAACTCAGCGCGCCAGTTGGTGCTCTGGACGGCAGTACATTACCCAGCTGTTTTTGAGGAATTTCGACGCAGTGAGCACTCTGCCTTTTTTGCTCTCCGCTTACACAGACAAAGCAGTTGGATCGTGTGATCCGGTGCCAGGTGCCTCCCTGGGTCCCAAGTCCCAGGGCTGCGATACTCGACTCAACCTGCCGGAGCGTGAGTGACTTCTGTGTAATGATCGCAAGCCACAGTATTTCTTTTGGCCTTTTGCTTGGTTGCATACATTTGCTGGCTTTTTTACTACAGTTTTACATCATGGCGGCCTGTTTTCAACGTGGAAGTCAAGCTATTTGGGATGACGAAGTGCTGGAGCGGGATTTTTCCCTTTCATGTATCGCAGTAGAAGCGAGGGTTGGTGGGCGAGCCGTGAGCCCACCTGGAGTCTCATCGTCTCTTCGAGGGCCGAACTCTCTGGAGGCTAAGCATATCGGTGGACATGATCTAGCAATTGCGCGCAGTGAGAGACAGCGTTCTGTCTTGAAGAGAAGCTTACAGCGCGCGCGTAGGCGTGCGCAGGAACATGGGCACACCATGTACAAGGGTCGTTTGGTTACAAGTCATGACATTGGACTCCCTGGAGAGGCCCACTCGGTGGGCGTTCGTTGCTTGCGGCAGCGCCAGGTGCCTCGAGAAGGAATCACAAACTCCATCAAAGATTTGCTGCCTGCTTGGCCGCCGCTCCAGGTGGATCTTGAAGCTCGCTGCAGGGTGCAGGTGAGGCGTAACCAGCTGGTCATTCTGACCTTGAATCTGGGGGGTCTGACTAAACCGGGATACGACGAGATTCAGCAGTGGCGTCACTCTCCACAGGTTTGCATGCAAGTGCACATAGTGATGTTGCAAGAAATGTGGAGGCCTTCGGCAGATTTTGTTGCTGGTCAGTGGACGTGGATTCAGTCAGGACCTGTGAAGTCGTCACACCTAGGAGTTGCTGTGTTAATCAATCGGAGACTTGCCACTTCCAAGGAACTACGCACAGCGGAGCCTATCAAAGGCCGCATCCTGCGTGTGCTCATCCCTGCAGCGGCTTCTCATCCGCTCAGGCGCCGACCCATCACAGTCATAAGCGTTTACCAACAGGCTAGAAGTTCTGAGCAGCACGAAATCTATCAAAAACGCGAGAAGGTTTGGAGCAAACTCAATCAGGTCGCAGCCTCGGTTCCCTTGAGACACTGGATGATCATCGGTGGTGATTTCAACACGCCGCTGCAGTCGCATGAATCTTGTACCGGTCAGGGATTGGTGTCGTCTGCTGTCACGCCGGCTGATCATGAGCAGTTTGCTCAATTCTTACAGGCCCATCAGTTGTGTGCTCTCAACACCTTCTGCAGCGCCGCGGATGCGGCCACATATGTAGGGCCTGAAATTCGCACCCAGATTGACTTCATACTGTGTCGGCGATCGCAGGCAGGCCGTACCGGTCGGCAAGCCATTCCAATTCCGCAGATCCGCCTGTCGGCTTGGCGCACTGGGGCTGGGGCTCAGCATCTTGTGGTCGGTGCCATCCTCACTGACACCAGGTCGGAATGGTCCAGGCAAGCCCTCCCTGAACGACTCGTTCAGGCACGACCTGATGTGAACAGGATGACGAGTGAACTTCAGCACTCCACTGCAGCCAGACAGGCCTATCATGATTGTGTGCGACAGCACATGCCTGCCACCATCAGCTCCGAGAGCGACCTCATGCTTGTGGACCAGGCACTGCATCGAGCCGCATGTCAGCTGTATCCATCCCATCCCGTTAGTGCACAGCGAGCGTGGGAAACGCCGGAGGTTAGGCTGTGCCTGCGAAATGTCTGGCGAGCGCGCGAGCGTCACCTTGCACTGATGCGCACCGCCAGGTGTCATGTCAGGGATCTTTGGGAATGCTGGAAAAGCCATGTGTCCTACCATCGTCAGGTACGGGAGCTGCGCAGACAAAGCAATCACAAGCGGCGTCAGCTTTGGATGGAGCGAGCAGCTTGAGCGAGCTGAGGCTGCTCTGGACCGGAATGACAGTCATGCTTTCTAAAAGGTAGTCAAGCAGTTGGCACCACGACAGCCCAGGGAGCGTGTGCAGCTTCGGGATGACCACGGTGCAGTGCTGTCGGTTGAGGCCGAGCAGGATGCCATGTTGCAGCATTGGACCAAGGTGTTTGATCATCGTAGCATTCCTGTTCAGGACTGGGTTCTTTCTGAAGCCTTGGATGTCAGCTGGGATGAGGCGTGTCAGGCGATGCGAAAGTTGTCGGCACGTAAGGCTGTTGCGCCAGGCTGTGCGCCGGGTGCGGCTTGGAAGTATGCGCCGGATGAGGTGGTAGATTGTCTGCAAGCATACATGCAAGATGTCTGGTCTCAAGGGGTGATAGACTTGGATCCTCGCTTAGCTAGGGCGTGGTTGCACTTTCTGACCAAAGCCGGTCGGTTGTGTCGCAAACCAGGCGACTTGCGGCCCATTGCCCTCCAGCCGTCAGCTGGTAAAGTGCTGAGTGTTGTACTGTGTGCCAGACTCCAACCACATGTCGATGCGCTGGCACAGGCATGGCCTCAATTTGCATACCTGCAGAGACGAGGCACCTCTGAAGCAATCACTCGTGTTGTTGCCCATTGCAGTGCCATTCGGGCCCAGCTAAAGGAGCAACAGTGGGATATTCATGCGAGGCATGCTGGGGTCCAAGTTAAACCCTTTGTCGGAGGGGCTCAACTGTCAATCGACATGAGTCAAGCCTTCAATCTCATCCCAAGGGCGGAGATGTGGCGTGCCTTGATCTGGGCTCGTGTTCCGGAACCGCTTGTCCAGGCCATTATGCAGCTCCATGAGTGCAGCAGCTACCAGTTGGGCCGCCCAGGTGATGAAGATACGGTGGCTCACATTGCTGTGACCCGAGGGGTGAAACAGGGTGATGTCATTGCCCCGGCATTATGGGTTGTATACTCCTGCTACGTCTGTTTTCGCACTGATGAACTCTTAGGTGCGTCGTGGTGCGATGAACATGCCACCATCTTTGCTGATGATCATCACTTCAGTTGGACACTTTGATCCTTTCACGATGGGGAGATCATGTGTGATCAGATTCAGGCCATCTTCACTCTGTATGCCTCGCTTGGTCTCTGTATCAATCCTGAAAAGTCTCACATGTTGGTTGCGGTCAAAGGCCTGGAGGCGGCGCGATGGCTTCGCAAGCGTAGGGTCAAGCACAAGACTGATGCAGGTCACTGTGTGCGATACAACATGTACACCAAAGCGTACCTGCCTCTGCATCAGCAATTCCCGTATCTAGGGGTCGTACTGTCGTACGGCAACTACGAGGACCTTACCCTCAAGTATCGTTTGCAACAGGCCAACCTGCGTCGCAACCGTTTGGCGAGAATCTTGCAAGGACGGGGGGGCTTATCGCTTGGTCGCCGACTGCGCATCTGGCATGTGTGCGTCCAGACTGCCCAACTTTACGGGTTGTTGGCCGTTGGTCTAACGACTTGGGGGTATCAACAACTGCACATCCAAACGCTGAAACACTTGAGAGCCTTGGCGCGCTCCCCACGTCATCTTACGCAGGAATCGGACAGCGCCTTTATGCAGCGCCTCTCCATCGAGGTGCCTCTCCTCGTGGTGCACGGCAGTGGTTGGAGCGCCATCAGCAGGATCATCCGTTTCCCTGTTATGCTGTTGCTGCGGTTTGTGCGCGCGCTCAGTGTGTCCTTGCAGAGCTATCTACGCTGCAGCCCAGACGGCACAGGTCTTCGGGTCAACCGGCTCAGGAGGGCTCGCAAGCCCCTGATGGGACTCAGGCCTCGCATGCAGCTGCCACTTTGGTTGAGCTGCCGTCCATGCAGTCGGTCTATGATTGTCAGGAATGTGGACAGACCTTTCCCACATTACACTTGCTGAAAACACACGAAGGAAAACGTCACAAGCTGCTGGCACCAGTTCGTCATTTTGATGCCACGGATCGGGCCTCATACTCCAAGGAGGGGTTGCCCATTTGCCGGTTCTGTGATGCCAAATTCACGAAATGGGGTAGTCTCCAGAGGCACCTGAAGCGAAATGGTTGCTTCTCGGGCCGAGATTGGGGGGGTTGCCTTGAGCCCATTTCCTGGAAGTTCAGAGCCAGCGCGATCCAGTGTGGTAGGGTCGGCTCCTGTCAATTCTGAGGCTGACCGATCTGATGATGCTCCCTCTGTTGCCGCTGCTCTGCCCTCAGTTCCCTCGGTGCCATCGGCTGCCTTATGTGGGGTGCAGGATTCTTCAGAACCTCAGCCGGGTCTGAATGCGGGTGCTCAACCGAAGACCTCGATCTGGCATAGCATGCCGCAGATTGAAACTGAGTCTCCGGATCAGCCTGTGATACAGTGGGCCAATGTGTTGGCTTTGCCTGCTCCAAGGCGATGGACCGATCTTGTAGCTGTGCCTGGTGTTGTGCAAAAATTGAAGCATCATTGCTCGATTTGCGGTCAGTGGCTAGCCACCTCAAACCAGATCAAACGGCACATTCGTCAGCAACATCCTGAAATCATGCAAAGGCATGAGGCCATGCTCGTGCATGCAGGCAAGCAGTGGGCTCGATCGTGCGTTAGCCCGTGTTCAGTTTGTGGAGCGAGTATTGCAGACACGCGCCAACATGCAGGCAAGTGTGTTGTGATGCAACAAGCGTGTCTGATACAGTGCGAGCTCACGCATCGCTCAGGCGGAAGCAGCTCAGGCGTCAGCTCAGGCGTCCGTCCTATTCGGACATCTGCTACCGGCAGTCTCGAAGCTAGCGGAGATAGCGGACATGGATGCGGACCTCCCCAATGCCAAACGGCCCAGGGAGATTGCCAAGCCGGGAGCTCCCGGACCCAGGAAGGGGAATCCTCAGGGCGGCAAAGGCCGCGGTCGCGGTCACCGACAGTGGGGCCGGGGAGGAGGGCAGGGACCCAAGATCTCGGACGGTACTTCCTTGGAAGAATTGGTGCGCCTCATGGCGCAGGTTCTACTTCGGCAAGGAGATCAGTTACAGCGCCTGTCCTTAGACACCGGATTCTTCCTGATTCTTCAAACCCCTCCGCAACCAGGCTCGATCACCAACACGATGTTTCGGGTCACTTCGGCTTGGAAGAAGATGATGAAGGAAACCCCGGAAAAGCTCGACCGGCCTCTCCGCCAGCACATGATCGAATGCCTCTTCCTCGAGCTTGCGGCACGGGCTCAGTTGGTTCGGAAACCGGAGGCGAAAGCAGAGGCACAGCAACTGGGCATCATCAACGACAAAGGCGACTGGAACTACCGGATCTGGAACGCCACGAGCCAGCAGTTGGAAGTCGACCAAAAGCGAATGCCCCTGAAGTCCTGGAGCAGATCGACAAAGCCACGGCGATTGTGCGCCGACCGGATGTGATCACCCGCTTTCAGGCCATTGCCCCACTCTCGGAGACGACGGAGAACGCCAGCATTCCATTTCTGTTGGACCTCAGTCTGAGGGAGCAGGAGCTTCACAACATCATGTTGGAGTGGTGCGAGCTGGCGGTCTTCGAACTGCTAGCAGGGCGACTTCGTCGCGCAAGGCTCAAGCGTCCCGCGCAGCTGGAGAAACTTCAGGAGCTGTTGAATGCACTCTGAGTCGTGTGATCCTCAGAAACCCAGGAAATCAGTGTTATGCGAATGCGGTTATCATGGCACTGTCTAGGCTGCTTCAGCCCATCTGCTATGCTGGGCACAGGTTCGCATGCACCCACCTGGGGCAGGTGCTCAGGGCTGTGCAAAATGCTAAAGTGTCGAAGGCCCTCACCCTGCGCAACTTGGCTGCGTGGTCCAGCTTGGCAGATCAGTGGTCGGAGCCCTATCGGCAGCATGACGCAGCCGAGTTCTTGCAGCATGTTCTGAGTTCGGTCGATTCCGTCCTCGCTCTCAGTCCATGGGAGGCTTTTCCGGATGGGGATGATGGATCACTCACGCGTGATCGGGGCTCTGGCGTTGTCCTCATTCCCATGCGTAGACCAGATCAGCAATTGCATCCGGACATCCAGGCCAGTGTGGACGACTGGCACCAGCAAAGGCACCTTCATGCGTTTCGCTCAGATGCCGAGTGGGTTGCACTTCAGCTTGACCGTTTTAAGGGTCGTGGGGTCTTTCAGGTTCGTGACAATGCCGCGCTGCCCATTCCGGGTCGCCTATGCTTGCCAGTGTGCACCTCTCGGCATGCCGTGCATCATCACACCACAGCTGTGGTGTTGCACTATGGTGCTCAGGTGTCCTCGGGGCACTACCGTGTTTTGCTGATGGGGCAGGGGTCGGGGAATGCCGGTGCAAGTGCTGTGCATTACATCACAGATGACGACCGTCAGGCTGTGCGTTGTGGAACATCCGAGCTTGAAAATTTGGCGTCCCGAAGCTACTTGCTCTTCATGCAACGTGCGACGCAGCCTGTCCTGTCGGGTGATGCGCTCCATGCCTGATGCCGCCTCTCTGTCTGTGCTTGCTCCAGGGTCAGTGGGTTTCATTAGTGTTTGCGTTTCTACATGTCGCGAGCGCTTGATGTGACTGGCCATGCATTGTCTTCAGTGTCACATGCGGCGGATGCCGTGATGACATGTGGTGCTGCTGGGCATTTGCACTCTCCTGGGCAAGCGCAGTGTGGTGAGACATGGCAGCGTGTACTTTTGGGCATGCCGACTTCCTTGATTCTTTCAGATGAGACTTTGGCGATGTACTTGGTCATTCGTGGTATACAGATATATATGATTCGTGATGCTGGTATCCGTATCTATTTTGAGCAGTTTCCAGCGGGCTTGGAGCATCGTCATGCCATCACTCGGCAGATACTTGAGGAACTTGAGGGTGCCGATGTGTGGCACCACCTTGCATTCTTTCGTTTGATGCTGGATGGAGATCATAAGGAAGATTTCTTCGAGATGGCATATACACTTATTCTACATCGCATGCGGGAGGACCCTCGGCCGTTCCACTTGCTTGTTCGCGAAAGTGAATACTCATGGGCCTGGTGCGATGCTCTGGCATCTGATGAGACTAGACTGCTCTCCACTGCTTCGGATGTGGCTTCAGATGTTGCTCCAACTGAGCGGGATGTGGATTCCGATATGTCTCATGATTCCTCCGACTCTTTTCTTTATGACTCTGAGCTGTGAGGGTTGCTTAAGTGTAGGTAGGAGGTAGTGTTGTTGCCGCGGTTTCACATGTGAAGGCGACCACATTGTAGTTCCCACCTTTCCGTAAGTGTCACAGCGAGGGTGACCGCTTGTGCATCCCGAATCCCATGTTCAGTGTCTCGACTTTGCTTTGGGCTGGTGACAGCCTCTTTGCTTTGTACAGCTTCTCTACCATTGCAGCTTGCTTGCAATCTTTTGCAACTTTCGCGAATTTAGCTGCACTGCAGCCGGAACGAAGTTCTGTTCGTGTCACGTAAGATGGATCCAACCTGTCTGCGCTTCAAAGTCAAAAAAAAGTCACATGCTCAGCAGCGCGTAACATTAAGCGGAAAGGAGTCTCGGCGGCACCGCTTCGTTCTCCTGAGCATCCCATGGGTTTGCCTTCACTTGCCGGTGTTGGACTTGACAAGGTCCGGGCTGCGAACAAAATTTACATTGGCCTTGCCAAATTTCTTGATTTGCTTTGCGAGTCCAACATTCCCTGGACTGTTGAGAACCCGGAGTCAAGCATGCTCTGGCAGCTGCCCTGTTTTGCCCACTTGGTAAAGAATTTTCCTAGGGTCAATTTCGACATGTGCTGCTATGGTGGTGCACGTTTGACCCACCGCACGCTGCTTACCTCTTGTGATGCCATCGAACATTTTCGCCAGCGCTGTCCAGGTGGGCATGATCACCTTCCGTGGAAACCACAACGACGTGCCGATGGTACGATGGCTTTTGCTACAGCCCAGGAGGCAGCCTACCCTAGGCCCTTTTGCCAACAATTTGTGGCTCTGGTTTTTAGGCACTTGGGTCGTCCCTTACCTGTGCATCCGAGTGCGGCTCCGTCTGCCGCGGCAGCCGCTTCTTCAGCTCGGCAACCTCGTGGGCGTAAACTGCCTCCTGTCATGCCTGAGT